TCCCTAGACACCTGCTCCATCTTGTCAGCCCTGTCCATGTCGCACGACCAGCTAATGAGCCGCGAAGTCAGAAAGGTAATGTTGCTAGACATGGCCTTCATCAGCCCACACCAGCGTCTATACAAGCCCAGCTGCTCCCGAGGACAAGGTAAATCACTGTTGACCGAGGGGAGGCGAGCGAATGAAATACACATGGTCATCAGGAATTCCCAGTCAGGTATCCTCGCAAAGCGCTGACCTTCAGGTAGGTGGCACCTGGCAGCACTTTGAAGCACCTGAAGATGTTCATGATAGTCCTCTAAGAGCCTCCAGAGTTGCTGACGGAATCGCAGACCATTGATCTGGTTGGACCCACTGCGGATCCTAAGACGCCCCCATATCCCCATGTGCTCTAGGTGTCCCATAGAAGCCCATGTTTGGAAGACAACCTGGAGGAGGACCTTCGGAGCCTTTCGCTGCCAACCACGGTGAAGGGCACGAAGATATTTACGCAACTCTATGAGTTCAAGGGTCCTTTCACTGACCCAGTCCTGCCGGTGGGGGTCCTCGGGGATCAGGTGTTCCATGGCAAAGGCAACGAGGTGGGCATCCACGCGTGCACAATGCGCCGTCGCTGATTCATTCCAGTCAGGCGCTTGAAAACTGAGCCGCATGCCGAGCAAATGCCTCTCGGATCGCTGGATCACGGAGGCGCTCTGGCTGAACTCGCAGCAGCGGCCACCTGCACTGAGACTGCGCAAGAGAGCCAGACGGAACGCCAACTTCAACAAAGGTAGGGCTGTGGTCCTCCACAGCGTTGACGAGGTCGACCGTTCGATCAACTCGTGCACGCGACACTAGCGAGAACCATTCTTGGGGAAGTAATACATAGTCCAACCTCTTACAGGTCTTACCGTCGGTGTGGACATGTGTATTGTGTGTGTCGTCGATCGGGGCAGGCAGGAAGGTAGAGGGAGCAACCACTTGAAACCTATGGCACAAGCTTCGCATACACTTACCCGAGAAATTCTCCTCCACAGCCTCCACATCCCCAATCTGTGCCGAGCAGTGGGAGCCAACTTCAGCATTAGCGTCCAACATGAATACAGGCTGCACTCCTGGTACTAGGTACTGGCTCACTAACCTCTGCGTATCTATCCACCACTTCCCAACTGAACAAACATCCTTCCGAGCACAGTGAGGGGCATGAGCAGCGACAAGCAATAGATGCAGGCCAGGCACATGAAAACGCAATAAGAGCCGACTCGTATCAGCATAAAGCTGGGCAACGTGATGTCGGCCAGGCTTGACACCTTTCACAGGCAACTCACAGTTAATCCAGATAGCTACTCCATCAGCGCCGTTCTCAGCACACTTGGAGTAGTACATCATGTAGTCCCCAACCCTCTTAGGCAAAGCCGACTGTAATCGAGTCTCCAGGACCCCTAGGAAGTGATATTTGGCAGCAGAAAACTGACGAGCAAGGGCCGTGATTCTCCCAGGGGCATTCAGGCCGATAACCTTCCAGAGACGAGCACCTTGGGGGGCTCTCCGTTGGGACCCTTTATACTTGCTGTTACCCTGGAGCGTTAAGACGTTAGCCGCCCCAAACTTGTACTGCTCTATCTTGTTCGAGGGGGCCTCATCAAGGATGGTCTGGGCCCCGATAACCTCCTGGACCTGGAAACCCTCCGAGAGCACCTCGCCGACCCGCAAGGTGTTAGTACCTATGATGTTCGGAAGGTCCGCGGAGCGGTCGGAATACATCCAAGCCCAAGCCAGAGCAGAGGAGTCAAAGAGCAGAGATGCAAAGGGCATATACTCCATGCCTGGCAGCAGTCCCATACCTGTGAGACGTGCCAGAGTATCTGCGAGCTCGTTGTATCCTTCCCCTTGGTGGCTATGCACATGTTGTCCCTGGATGGTACAGGTAGCAGCAAGAAACTGGACCAGGGACCGAAGAAACATTAAACCAGAGTTGGTGACCTCGAAGGTTTGGGTGCCCATCAAAACTCCGAGCGTCCGCATAGAGTCGAGTCGAAGCACAACTGGTATTGTACCCAGGTCCGCCTGGGCAATCCATGCCAATGCCCATGCAGCAGCAAGAATCTCAGCCGTGTCAGAGTGGTAGGAAGACGGGAAGAGATCCATCACATCTTCTGGAACCAGATCATATATATATATATATATATATATATATATATCCTCGAAGGGCCCTGGAACCATCAAAGTATTCATAGATAATCACCGCAGCCGACGCGGGAACAAACGATATGTCAGATCCATCGGCTCCTCCAGTGCCATCGGTATAGACGAGGACACGGGTGGGGGGAAGGAGGGGGAGGAACGGCACATGCTGCTGCAGCACCGCGGAGGTAGCTGGATGCAGGTAGGCTGACAGAGCCTCCTCACACAGCTGATGCACTGAAAAAGGCCAGGGCTGACGCAGCTGCTCGACAGCAGCAGGCACAAAATGAAACGGGAAGTCACGGCTACTCATGGGCGGCCGCTGGTCAGAGGGGCCTCTCTCGTCGGGGGGAGGGTCAGCCCGACGGGGGCCCACTCGGCGAGCAGCGGCCGCTAGGCGTTTCCCGTCGTCACACCACGAGGAGCCGAGCGCGACTGGGAGCGATGGGCTGCCCTCCCACGGCTGGCCGCACGACTGGGCGAACGCCGCGGCGAGCGCGAGCCAGCCTCTGCGCGGCTCGCACGTGCCTCGGGCTCCTCGGCAGCAGGCGTCGCTGGAGCCGCACGCGCTGCAGCTGCCCCAGCAGCCTCGGTGACCGTGCGGCCAGGCGGCTGCCCCTGCACCCCTGGAGCTCCGCCCATGCCGTCCACGGGGGCCGTTGCAGACGTCCTGCCCGCCGCCTCGGGGGCCCCAGCAGGCCCCGTCGAGAAGGTCACGTGGGCGGTCGGCGCGGGGATGTTCTGACCACCGCCAGCCGACAACTGCATCTGGTGGATGAGGGACTGGAAGCCCTGCAGCTGGGCCATCATCGCCGAGATCTGCGTCTGGTGGGCGGCCAACGCTCCGATCGTAGACATGGGAGCACCAGCAGGGACTGCGCCAGCCACACCACCTGCCACGCCCAGCGGCGCAGCTCCAGCAGCAGGCGTCGCTGCGGGAGCGGGCTCGGCAGCCCTCCTGGCAGCCTCCTTGGCAGCCTCGTTCTCGGACTGGATCAGGGTCTTCAGCTCGGCAATCGTCTTGGCCATGTGTTCGAGATCGCGCTTGGCCAGGTCGACGTCCATGGTGGCCTGCTTCACCTGCGTCTGCAAGTCTTCCAGCACGTCGTTCGCCTTCTGCAGGCGCTTCTCGGCGCGCTCGAAGGCCTCCTCCTGCTTCTGGAGTTGGGCCTTCACTCCTCTCGCGCAGAACAGCATCGTCAGCGTGGTCGCGAACTCGAGCACGGCATCGTCGTAGTCCTCGCCCGCGTCGAAGCGGTCGAGGATGATAGCATTCAGAGCCTCCAGCCTGGCTGAGGCCTTCTCCTTGTAGTTCTCCACCTCGGCGTCTGTCGCCTGAGGACCAGGCGGCGTCCGCCACCTGGGGTGCCCACGAGCCACCTGCGGCAGCGCGGGTCGGATGTGCAAGATCTCCTTCGCCGAGCGGTACTCGTCGGAGGCCTTGTCCTCGTCCTCGTCCTTGGCCTTGTCCTTGGTAGCAGAACCTCCTGCGGCCGACGGCGGTGCATCTCGCAGTGCGGGAGGCTTGCCAGCGGACTTGTCCCTGCCCTTGCCCCTGCCCTTGCCCCGCGTCCCATCCTGCGACGGGGGGGCACTGCCAGAGCGCCTCGGCTGGCGGCGCCACGGCGGGGCATCGGGCTTGGGCGAACCACACTGGCGACAATCCACACGCTCGTGCCAGTTCTTGCAGGAACAGGTAGAACAGGGCCAGGGAGAAGCAGGCGGCGCCCATGTGATGGACGGGGCAGCCTTGGTCATGTCGACGCGTCGTCCTTGTTGACGACTGTGGTGACGTTGTAGCAGTCGACGCGCCGCCTCCAGGCGGAGGAGGACGCGAGCACGTGAGCGGTCCGCTCGGGCACGCCTGTGCCACGCAGGCTCTGAGGCCCGGCCTGCGTGACGTTGGCGGCCAGCACGGCCGCGGGGCAACGCTATGGCGGCTGCGAACAAGCGGCGCGTATGGCAGCAGTCCCAGAAGTGAGGGGCGCGGCTACCTGGTAGCCTCCCAGGGCCCCTCGAGCCGGGACGGCGGCTGGGGGAGGAGGAGGAGGAGGAGGAGGAGGAGGAGGAGGAGGAGGAGGAGGAGGAGGAGGAGGTGGAGGAGGAGGAGGAGGAGGAGGAGGAGGAGGAGGAGGAGGAGGACATCCCGCATCCGTATGAGACGGGCCGACTGTACGGTGCATGAGCACCGTTTTCGCAGGGGCACGCGTGCCAGTCGCCAGCCAAGCGGTAGGCGCAGGCGCCGAGCTCCCACGGCGGAGGCGCCGATCCCCCGGGCGAGCTCAGAGGCGGCCTCCGTCCAGGCGCCTTCGGCGCAAGCCAGCTCGGTTCCACTCGAGCCAGGGCGGCACTGTCAGCCGGCCAGTGAGCAGCTGGACGCGCAAGCAGATGCACACGTGCACAACACACACATGCCAATACTCGGCGGCAAGCCCGGGAGGGAAGTGAAGAGGGGCGGGCCTTCTCAGAAGGCTGGGAATTCCCCCCCAGCCTTCTGAGAAGTTTTCTGAGCCTTCCCCGAAGACACAAGAAGACTGCTCAGAAGGCGCGGCGAGGGCTTCTGAGAAGTCCCGCCGCCTTCTGAGAAGGCCTTCTCCTTCTCACTTCCCCCCTCGCCCGCCGTTGAAATACAGACATGCAGCATACCAACAGGCATACACAGGCTTGCACGCACACGCACAATCTTCCGCAGCAGGGGCGAGCGTGTCATCCCCCCTCCGTGTCGTCCTTCTCCTTCGTCTCTTCCTGCTTCCATTTCCTCATCCTCCCTTTCACTGCTCTCCTCCTCCACTCTCCTCCACTCGCCTCCTCCCTTTCCTCCTCTTGCGACCGAGGTCATGGGCATCTCTATGGGCAGCAGCGAGGGGGGCGGCTACGCCAACGCCGACGGGAACCTGATGGGATGGATCAACGAGCTCTGCTACATCAGGCTCCGCCTCATCATCCTATTCCTTATTCTACCTCCTCGTGCTCCTTCCACTTCTTTCCTTCCTCCTTCTTCCTCGTCTCCCCCATCATCAGCAGGCTCGCCCGTGCCACTGGCGCAATGCAGACGGGGCTGGGCAGCTCGGGAGGATGACGGGGGATCATGGGGGAAGGAGGAGAAGGAGGACCAAACGGAGCTCGAGTTCATTTCAGCGGGTACATAGCTCACGCTATGTAGCCTGCAAGCCACCCACCCAGTAGATAACATAACGCCTGCAATCCAACCCGCCCCCGCTGAGGCCGGTCACGTTGCTTTGCGCACGGACCGCGTGTTCTGTGCGCACGCGGGCGCTGGTAGTGTCTAGGGGGCGCTTGGCGCTAGCAGGCTGCTGTGACACCCGCGCAAACGCGGCGGTGCACGCGGCCACCGCAATGTACGCAGGCCATGTGGTGTGCTCAAGCATTGTGGTGCACACGCGCCGCATGGTACACACTTTTTTTGATCCGCGGGTCGAGAGCGAGCCTCTTCTGGTCGAAGCTGAGCGGGCCGCGCACAGCTTTAATCAACAGTGATGTTACTCACAGGCATTGTGGTGTACACGGCGCGCGCACTCTTGGCGTCGTGGCCATGCGCGCCGCGGCGCCGCGAAGTGGAGGTCGGGCGGAGCGGGGCGCCCGCGGGCCGGCCCAGACCACGCGGCGTTGGGGTTATTGGATCCACTCATAGGGGATCGACAGCAGCACTCGCGAGGGGGCAGCAGTCGCGAGGGGAGCGGCGGGGAAGAGGAGGAGATGGGACACGAGGAGCAGTGCGCACAACGCACATCCTTACTCCAGATTTCGTAATAAGAGGGAGGGGTTCTGGACCCTCCAAGGCAAGCCATTTCAGACCTCCCCCGTGGGAGAACCCTCCCAAACATCGTCCCCAGACCCCCCAGGCCCTTCAAGATAGCCTGGAAGAGACCCCCCCCCGAAATGAGACCCCCCTCCCTTTATTACGAAATCTGGAGTATGCTCTATCGGTGTATATTCCCGCGCTGCCACCTGGCTGGCCGATCGCAACCCCGGGTCCCGTCCTACATGTCAAGAGCAGTGCTAAATCAATGTCTTTCGCTTCAACATGGACATTCTGTCGTCCATGTTGCCACATGCGTGGCGGGAGCGGGACGCGGCGCGCATTCCGCGCGAAAGGCCGAAAAGTTGCTCTCGCCTCGGCGGTGCGCTCATTTTTCTAGAGAGTTGGGGTCCCGTTTGGGCGCGGCGCACATTTTTCGCGCGCAATTTCGTCGACCCGCGAGCGGGCGAATTTGTCGCTCTCGCCTCGGCGCCGCGCAGATTTTTCCTGAAAGTAGCACTCCCGCCTCGACGCGGTGTACATGGGGAAGACCTTGCGGCCGGTGCCGCCGACTCAGACGACGACGACGACGATGACGACGGCGGACGACGACGACGACGACTGCGGCGTCGGTAGCGACGACGACGCTGACGCAGGGCAGGGTCCTAAGGGATGCTTCGTGTGGTCTCGTCGGAGCGCGCTCGTAGGCCTCTAGGGGGCAGTTTGGGGGCCTCTTGGGAGCATCTTGGGGGCCTCTTGGGAGCCGGTTGGGGGGCTCTTCGGGCTTCCTGGGGGCCTCTGAGCCTTTTGGGGGCCTCTTGGGGCCTCCTCGGAGCTTCTCGAGGCCGAGGGCTCGAAATGTTCGTTCGGGTTCCCGTCCACCCTCCTGGAGCCATTTTGGGGGCCTCTGGGACAGTCTGGGAGGCCTCCAGGGCCGCCGTCTTGGGGCACTCTTGGGTCGTTTTTGAGCCGTTTTGGGGACCTCTTGGGGGCCTCTTGCGCCTATCTTGGTGATCTTGGTGGCATCTCGAAGCGTCTTGGAGCGCGGGGAAGCCGAAAAGGTGAGAACGCCACTATCTTTCAAAAACTTTGAGAAAGTTCTGAAATGTTGCTTGTTGGGGCCATCTTGGTGTGCTCTTGGAGGCCTCTTCGAGCGTCTCGGCAGCCGCTTGGGCTGTGAGGAGGCCATCTGGCGTCTTGGACTCTTCGTTCGGCGATTCGGGGCTCTCTTGGACAGTTTTGGGAACCTCTTGGGCTGTTATCGGGCTGTTTTGGGCCCCAAGGACCCCACGGGGGAGGGTGATATTCTGACCCTGGACCCCCCCCTCCTTCACCCCCCCCCTTCCGCCCCCCCCCTTCCACCCCCCCCCCTTCCACCCCCCTCCTGGGCCACCCCCCACCAGGGACCCCCCCCCGCTGAGGGGGAAGGGAATCAAAAGGAAGTGGCTTCCCGTCGAGTCGCCTGCGACATTGCTCAAGTCCGGTTTGGTTTCGCTTTGGCTGGCGCGCTTGAGGTTTCGCTTCGCTGTGGCTGGCGCGCTGGGGGGACCCAGTGACCGACGACGACGACGACGACGACGACGGCGGCGACGACAGCGTCTGCCATACGCCGACAGGTCAGCGGATGTTTCGCTCGCCATTTTTGTTGGGGGCCCGCGCCAGGGGGCGACTGGCCGCCCTCGCCGGAGCTCCGCCGAAGCCCAAGACTCATCAACAATACTGCAATAACATTGTGGGGATGTCTCGGCCCACCCCCTTGTCTCAGAACCGCTCATCTTATGCAGACACGTATAGAGAAGGACCCCGCCAGAAACAGGATTTACATGTGGGCATTTCTGCGTCAAAGAATTTAGCTCCAGGATGGATTGCACGGGAACCTCAAGCGCAATGACGGGCCCAGTCTATGAGCACGTCTGAGGATGAGGTGCAGGAGCAGAATGAGGGGGAGGAGGGGGAAGAGGAGGAGGAGGAGGAGGAGGAGGGGAGGAGGAGGAGGCATGGATGCATGGAGGCATGGATGCATGGAGGCATGGAGGTATGGAGGCAAGGAGGAGGAGGATGAGGAGGCGGAGGAGGAGGAGGGCAGGAGGAGGGCAGGAGGAGGAGGAGGAGGAGGAGGAGGAGTTCCCTCCCGTAGCCAGGCTCGACATGAACCCGAGGGCGCCCACGGACCCCTGGTCGAAGGGCGCGCACACGGGCCTGTCCCACATGCGCCCCTCCGCCGCGCGCTGGCGGCGGGTTGGCACCGCCTGGCGCTGATCTTTCGTGAGAGGGGGGGGTGGCTGCGTGTGGTACCAAGAGGAGGTGGATGAGGATGAGGATGAGGAGGAGGAGGATGATGATTATGATGCTGATGGTGGGTGATCGATGGTTGTAATGGTGGTGGTGATGATGATGATGATGCTGATGCTGATGATGATGCTGATGCTGATGATGGTTCTGGTGATGATGCTGATGATGATACGGAAGATGCTGATGGAAATGACGATGATGGTGATGATGATGCTGATTATGATGCTGATGATGATGATTATCATGATCCTGATTATGACAATGATGCTGATACTGCTGAGGATGCTGATGATGTTGATGTTGATGCTGATGATGCTGATGATGATGTTGCTGTTGATGATGATGAGGATGATGGTCGTGATGATACTGCTGCGGATGCCGATGCTGATGCTGACGATGCTGATGATGCTGCTGCTGATGTTGATGATGGCGATGATGTTGATGCTGCTGATGCTGCTGATGCTGACGATGCTGATGATCATGCTGCTGATGATTGATGCTGTTAATGATGCCGATGCTGATTATAATGATGATGGTGATGATTATGATGATGATGATGCTGATGATGATGCGGCTGATGATGATGCCGATGATGATGGCGATAAGTATGATGCTGATGCTGATATTGATGATGATGCTGCTGATCATGATGATGCTGATGCTGATGATGCTGATTCTGATGCTGATGCTGGCGATCACGATGCTAGTGCTGCTGGCGATGATGGTGATGATGATGATACTGATACTGATGATGATGATGATGATGATGATGATGATGATGCGGATGATGAGGATGCGGATGATGATTATGATGATGATGATGATGGTGCCAATGCTGATGCTGATGCTGATTCTGATGATGATGCAGACGATGATGATGCTGATGCTGATGAAGTTGATGAGGATGCTGATGGTGAGGCTGCTGCTGCTGATGATGATGATGATGATGCTGATGATGATGATTGTGATGATGATGCCAATGATGGTCGTGGTGATGCTGATGGTGATGACGACAACGATGATGATGCTGATGATACTGATTATGATGCTGCTGATGATGCTGCTGCTGAAGCAGATGCTGATTCTGATGCTAATGCTGATGCTGCTGCTGCTAATGATGCCGATGATGATGGTGATGATGATGATGATGCTGATGATGATGATGATGATGCTGGTGCCGATGCTGATGCTGATGATGATTCTGATGATGATGCAGAGGATGATGATGCGGATGCTGATGAAGTTGATGAGGATGCTGATGGTGAGACTGCTGCTGCTGATGATGCTGATGATGATGATTATGGTGATGATGCCAAGGATGATCGTGGTGATGCTGATGGTGATGACGACAACGATGATGATGCTGATGATACTGATTATGATGCTGCTGCTGATGATGCTGCTGCTGACGCCGATGCTGATTATGTTGCTAATGCTGATGCTGCTGCTGCTGCTGCTAATGATGACGATGATGATGACGATGATGATGATGATGATGATGATGATGATGATGATGACGATGTTGATGATGACGATGACGATGCTGATGGTGATGATGATGACGATGATGATAATGATGATGATGATGATGATGATGATGATGATGATGATGATGATGATGATGATGATGATGATGATGATGATGATGATGATGTCGCTGATGATGATGATGCTGCTGATGCTGATGTTGCTGCTGCTGCTGCTGCTGCTGATGATGATGATGATGATGATGATGATGATGATGATGATGATGATGATGATGATGACGATGATCATGTTGAGGAATACGCGGAAAAGAAGAAGGATGAGAAGGAGGAGGAGGAGGCGGAGGGAGGAGGAGGAGGAGGAGGAGGACAGAAGAGGAGGAGGAGGAGCAGGAGGAGGAGGAGGAGGAAAAGGAGGAGGAGGACAGAAGAGGAGGAGGTGGAGGGAGGATTTTGAGGCATGGAGGGGGCGAGGGAGGCCCCTCTGCGGGTGCCGTCGCGCCGGGTGCCGCGCGGAGTCCCCGCCCTCCGCGCGAGCGGGGGTGGGGGGGGGGGCGCGTCTTCCGCCGTGTGGGAGGAACCAGGATGCACAGGGTCAGATTTGGCCATGGGGCGGTCGCCCGTCGTGTGGCCAGTGCCTCCTAGCCCATGGGGCTGCTGGAGGTACTCTTTCGGTCAGTGAGGTCTCCCTCACTTCCAGCAGTGGTTTCCCAGCCACCACTGCTGTGCTTTTTTCACCAAGACTGTGCGGGCGTTGAGCTTGAGCTCAAAAAAAAAGTGCACAGGATCAGTCTGGAGGCACAGCCTCCTCCTTTGTTGGTTCCTCGGCGTCCATTTGCGGGTCGGCGGCCCTGGCTCGGCCTCCTCGCTCCGCTCCCTCCTCGGAGTCTCCCTGCGTCCCTCCCTGGGGGGCTGGAGGAACGGATCGAGGGATGGGGCTCGAGGAGGAGGAGGAAGGAGGAGGAGAAGGAATAGAGTTGAAGGCTTATCCGGGGAACACCGAAGTTCTCAGGATGAAGCGAGGACGCTCCAGAGGCTAGTTCAGCAAATATTACCTGGCCATCTGGGAGACTCGAAGAGGGAATCGGTATCTGAAATGAAGGAGTGCCGATGAGGAGGGATGGAGGGAGGGTCTGGACGATTAGGAGGAGGACGTGGAAGGATGAGGACTTGGATAATGGTGATGATGATTGATGTCTATAATGATTATGACGACTAGTGTGATGATGGTTGTGGTGATGATGACGACGATGACGATGACGATAGATGCGGTTGATGTTCATGATGATGATGATGATTGCTGTGACGATGAAGATGACGATGATGATGACAGGATGATGATGGGGATGATGTCGGCGCCGGTGATGCTGGTGATACTTGCGCTGATGAGGATGGCAGTGATGGTGGTGGTACGGCTGCTGCTGCAGGTCGTGATGCAGATCATGCCGATGATGATATGATGATGATGCTGCTGCTGATGATGATGAGCATGATGCTGATTCTGAGGTTGATGGGAATTCTGATGCTGATGATGATGACGAAGATTTTAATGTCGTGATGACGGTGCTGCTGATGCTGATGATGATGACGATAACGATGACGATGACGATGATGACGATGACGATGATGACGATGATGTTGATGATGATGATAATGTGATGATGGTGATAATGATGTTGCTAAGGATAACGATGATGATGCTGATGATGATGAGAACGAGGATGATTGTGACGGTCATTACGGTGATGATGACCATGATGGTGTTGACGACGATGCTCACCATAATCGTAACCATTACGAAATCCTGACGATCATATTGTCGATGCTGATCATACCCATAAACATGATGATGATGCTGATGATGATGGTGGTGCTGGTGATGATGAGGATGATATTGTTGATGATGATGCTGATGATGATGCCCATGACAATGATGATGATGGTAATGATGATGATGATGATGATGATGATGATGATGATGATGATGATGATGATGACGTTGATGATGATGATGATGATGATGATGATGATGATGATGATGATGATGATGATGGTGGTGGTGGTGGTGGTGGTGGTGTTGCTGATGCGGATGATGAGGATGGCAGGCGATCGGTGGTGATGATGGAGCTGCTAATGATGACGAGGACGGTTGGTGATATATGGTTATGATGATGTTGCTGACGCCGATGCTGTTTGTGACAATGATGATGAGGATGTTGATGCTGATGGTGGTGTTGATGCTGATGACGCTAATGATGCTGCTGCTGCTGATGATGCTGATGATCACGATGATGATGATGATGATGATGATGAGGATGACGGAGGTTGTGATGGTGGTGTCGATGATGCTGATGATGCTGCTGCTGATGAT